AAAATGTTAACCATGTATTTTTTATTTTGTCGTATAGTTAATAAAACAATACTTAGATAAAACGAATCAAAGTTTAGGAGTCCCGGGCTAAAACGTCAATTCTACGTACAAAATGCACATAGAAGTGATTACCGGTAAAGGGGTCTCGGGTTCGATTCTCGGGTCGGGAAAATTAATACAAGGGATTTAAAAAAAAATCTTAGTAATAGCACGGAGTCTGGAAATGTGCCCGGTATAATTGGCAATCGGCACACCATTACATGGGACTCATAACATAAAAGTGAACAGTGGGTGTTACATTATACAGTGGCATTAAGTGCCATAATGTGCACCTCTGCCTACCCCTTCAAGGATAAAAAGCGTGATGATGTTATGATATAAAGTCGCATTCCCGTTTAGACTTTTAGACGAAAATGAAAATGTTATTTTGTTTCCTCAACAAAAAAAAACAATAAACAATAAAAAACAAAAGTAGGGAGTTGAAGTCTGGAAATCATTTGTCATCCGATTTATACGCGCATGATGAAAATAGAATGGCAGCTGAGCGTTACGTAACACGACCAAAAGGCCAGTATTTCCTTTGACGAAACGGCTTTAAAAAAAAAGGTAACTTAGCAAACGCTCTAAAGAATCCTCAGTGTACGACGTTTTACCGGAAATTAGGGTCTCCTTACTGTAGATTGCTCAAAGTGATAACAAGTAAAAGGTTACTGTGAGTTGAATCGAATGAGGTTGGAAATAATTTACGTAGATGGCGCTTGTATCGTCTTAAAGGAAAAAAGAATTGCTTTTATCCCTTTGTCGAGGAGTGGGCGGATCTTGTAACGTTTCAGAAAGGTTTCAGGTTGGATCATCGCTATTAATATGTTATCCTACTTTAATCGTATTTGAACCGAAACAGGCATTTGTTTATGATCGCGATTCTGATAAAATACATAAATGTTTCGAAGTGTTTTTATGTACAGGTTGATGTGAAAAGCGTCTGATGGTTTTACGTTTGAATATTTTATTCAAGGATTTTGTTTGTAAGGAATAAACGACTGCCGCTTGGTTAATTTATGGGACGTAACTGGTTTTGTTTGTATCACTGTTTTCTTTTATAAACAAAGTTGGGTTTCGTGCTGCCAAGATAAAAAAGTTACTTGGAATTGTACCTACGTTAATTTTGTATACTCGTACGAATTCCCAAGTGAAATGTAAATATTTTAGCTTACTAGGTAATATTAAATTCCATAATTTCGCAAACAATACAAGAACTCGGTATCCACGAACGGTGTAGGTACAGAAATTTACTCGAAACGAAACAAAAAAAGACTTAATTAATTTTCAAATTACATTCACGTGACATTTTTTGAAGCTAAATGACAAAGTAAACCGTTATGTGTAAGCCCACGCATTCATAATAATTATTAGGTTTACGAGTGTAATGTGCTGAGGACGCGATAAATACCGCCACCTGTCGGACTGAGTATGAATTACTGGTTCCTAGTTTACTTACTGTTGACAGTAATTATTAACACTTAGGTATTATTAAAGATTGAATTCTATTTTTCAATGTAAGTATCAGATAGTTCAATTACTTTAAGTGACTGAAGTATACAAGTACTGTAGCTTATAATATGTAAGAGTTAGTAATTTGGTTTGGTACGAACTTTTCTTTGATCTAAAATTGTATTATTCGTAAAAAATATTACTGTTGAGTATTTTTATTTACCTATTGTAGCAGTTTTTATGTTGTATAAACTTTATGGAATAAATAACCTTTTTTATTTGTCCAAAAGCATATTTTTGTTTGGTAAATATAATATCTTTTTCAACTCCGAGAAGAGCTTAACTCTTCTCCACGTGAGAATAGGCCGTGAGCAAAGTGTGGTTATTGCACATCTAATAATAATACACACAGCAATTAAGTTGTCATTTAAATATGAACTTTAAATCCTATATCGTATGATATATTTCATAACGTCAATACAAAAAGCCGACGGCGGGTGGTCTGCGCGCAATCTACTCAAGGTGTAGTCGAGACGCCCGGTGGGAGTGTGGGAGAGCTTCGGAGAGATGCTTCGGCACGAATGGGCCGGCTCAAACGGAGTGATACCACGGCCTCACAGAAAACTGACGTGAAATGCTTGCATTGTATTTCGTCATGTGAGTAAGGTTACTGGAGGCCCAATTACCCCCCACCATTCCCAATCTCTCCAATCCTTGAATCCCCAACAATCTTCAAACTCCTAAACCCCAAAAGGCCGGTACCGCGTGATCCGTATGCTGGTTTACCGACTTATCCCATAAAAAAAATTTATGTATTTAAATTGTTATCTAACTGTACTAAAATTATATAGAGTGGGAGTACCTTTGCGTAGGTTGTATATTTGTGGGAGATGCTCTCGTGACGGACACCGGCCATTTGGGGTCAGTTAATGAATATTGCGGTCGGTAATGAGCTTACATTGAACGATGTTTAGGTGTTGATGTAAAGAAAGGACAGGACAAACGAATAATTTAATTAGGATTTTATCTCGTCTCTTTACAAGGAAGTTTCAAAAAATAAACTGAATTAATTTAAGTAGTGTATGAAGACTGCTTCTGCCGTAAGATATTTTTAGTTAATTTATCTTTGGATAGATTCCAGGTATATAGAAATTCAGACCACCACAGATGGGGCCCAACAGGGCTGATGCCGAATTTTTTTTTAAAGGGGGGAAAGTCATCGAATGACTGCTCCCGCCTGGGTGAGGCGGGAGGGAGTGTCAGACTCTTACTGACTAAAAACCACCCCGTTCCTTCTCCTGCACGTCGAGCCGGAGCCCCGGTTACCCGTTAGGTTCTCCGCGACTAGGGCTGATGCCGATACAGAGCCGCGGAAGACTTAACGGGTTGCCGGGGCTAAGTGCAGGAGTAGGAACGGGGTGGTTTTTAGTCAGTAAGAGTTTGACGCTGAATCTTGCCTCACCGGGCGGTAGAAGTCATTGGATGATTTTCCTCACTCAAAAAAAAAAGGTATATAGAAATTAACTCGTCGAGTACCGTCATTATAGACACAATTATAGAACAATAGGTTGCGGTCACCAGTGACCGCTTGGTGTTTGACAGTTTAATAAGCTTTGTTTCGAACCGATAATCGAACTTGGTGACGTTATTAGTTAACGTTATAAGTCGTAATCGAGACAGTCGATACTCAATTATGTTAACAGCTATAACTATAATTAAAATAAGCGTTAAATCTAATAGAAACATAATGACGTGGTCAAGTAAATTGTTGCCTATAAATACTTCATTATAATAAAATGATCTCAGTTTTTCCAAAGCTTCGAGCGCTAAGCTGTTTTTTACGACAAAATTAACGTGAAGACAGGAAAGATTAATGAATAATCCGGAGCGGAAGACGCGTCGCTCCAAACTTCCGTAACCTCTGGGAACATAGAAAATAAAACACCCTGTAGGTAGAGGTATAATCGATGGCTTCCCATCTACGGAGCCACAATGCAGTGGTGGTGCGGAAAAAGTGCTCTTTGAATAAATTTAAAAGGACTTTTGTTTTCATTTAATTCCAACCCTCTTCGTTTTTTTCGGGTTAATTGGCTGTAGCATGATTTCTCCCTAAAACCTTTGCATTTTTTCACCGTGCTACTGCCTTAATTGACCCACCATAGCGCAGTTAACACTCTACTTGATATTAATTTCCTCGGAAATTTCTCAACTTTTCGAATTTTCCCATTCCGCCTCGGGGATTATAAGTCACGTTTTTTTTGTGAAAGTAGGTACCTAGAGACAACAGAACTTTTTACAATACCCGGCTGCAGCGTTAAAAGTTTTATTAAACGTTTTACAGGCTTACCGACCCACAACTTGGTCCCTTTGAAGTAATCTGATATAATTTATTTATAGATTTTGCGTCAGTATTTTTTACTAAAAATATGGCGACATCTGCCGTTTTTTTAATGATTTCTAAGTGGCTAGTTGTCGCAATCATAGATAATAAATACAAACACCTATTTTTACTTACCTAAACACGCTAATATTAAAAGTTACCACACACCTGGCTAATCTAATAAGTCACCAATTTGCTCGTTTGTATGAAGCCAGTGTGCGCTCTGAACGTGATCTATCGCCTAGTGGGCTCGCCAAATGCCAATATCCGGACAACATAGATTATCGCGACGAACATAGGAGCATCGTTTGTAAGATATAAACCTCTTTTTTTGGATGTCAGAGAAGCGAAATGACCTCGTCTACTCCCACTATAATAATTTACAAAAAATACCCTGTATTATTTTTTTTTATTATGTCTGTCAAAATATCTTTGATTGAGTATAAAAAGTATTGTATTGAATAATGGAGATTACGTCTGAGAATGATAGAAATTAATCAATGTAGTGTAATTGTGAAGGCCAACGTTTCTATGATTGCTTGTCTATCCCACGCAGGCGGACGAAGTAAATAATTACAGATAATTTGTACTAATATACCTCTGTGGCTGCTTCGATGGCCGAGTGGTCGCAAGTGCTACTACCGGGCAAGGGGTCTCGGGTTCGATTCCCGGGTCGGGCAAAGTGTAACTAGATTTTTTTTTAATCTCAGTAGTAGCACGGAGTCTGGAAATATGCCCGGTATATGGCAATAGGCTCACCCCCTATTACATGGGACTCATAACATAAATAGTGAAAAGTGGGTGTTACTTCTGTGTGCACCTCTGCCTACCCCTTCGGAGATAAAAGGCGTGATGTTATGTTGTACTAATATTGAAAAATTAGAAGAAGTTTGTTCTTATTTATTTATAAATGGTATTAAGTTTTGGTAATACAAGACTAAATATATACCTTAACATCATTATTTTAATATATACTTTGCTATGTATTAAAATATCAAACATTCCTAAGTTACAATTTCTTATTTAGTTCCATTTTATATTTACAACTGCAAAAATGTTGGCCTTATAGTTACGGAGTTTGAATTCATTACTGTATATAAAAATAGTTACTTATATAAAAAAATCTTACCTTTTTCTTTTCCAGGTGAAGTTTCAATTACAGAGTTTTGATGTTGGCGCCGCGTGAACTCACTTCTGCAACAAAAAACAAACTTTTATAATATTGTCTCTGTGCAATGTTCATATCTTAGTTTATTATATTAGAGGTAGTACGGAAGTAGGGAAAGCGCACGTCTACTCGCAGGACATTCGAGTTCAAATCTCGGTTCGAATGTTTGTTTGTTTCTGTTTTCATCTTTTTTATTCTATATTTTTATCTACATATTTTCTTTTTCTAAAAAAAATGAATTACTAAAAAACACCGACCTAAGTTCGGTCATCCAGGTACTAAACAATAATATGCTAATCGACAGACCATATACAACGACTGTGTATTGTGGAAGTACCAAAAAGGTGTTGTGTATGCTATATTTATCCCTACTGTGAGTGTCGATGTATTTTGAATAGATATTAATATCTACATATATTTTAGATACGTAAATTTGCATTTGGATACATGTTTTAAATAGTTTATTTATTTGACTGCACAACAACACTTATAAATCAAATAAATACATATTATATCTGCGTTAAACTATCTTAATGTGACAATAAATATAATAGAAGTAGCTTCGCACATCAAAGTGTTACAATATGACACTCATTAACTGGAAAAACAAGCTGTAAAATGTGTTAACTAAAAATAAAATTTCACATCACAGATCAACCGTCACCAAAGTAACCCAAAAGTAATTCTTATTTTAGCCAGCCCAAAATAATCCATACTGCTTACGTAATAGAACTCACACATTTTGCCGTTCCATCACGGAACTTGTCAACAGAAGCTATCCGATACATAGTGTTAGAAAAGCTAATTTGCTTTCAGTTGCCCATAACTTATAAAGTTTGCCCATTCCTGCCGGGGCATTAATAGACTGGCTTGCCCGAGATAATATTGTGTAGACTGTCCACTACGATTTAAGAAACTTTCGTCGTCACAAATCAGACTTAATGTTTATGTTTTTATTCAATAATTCATGTTTATTGTCCGTTAAAATATTATTTGTATCGATATATGCTGAGTAGATTGTAAGTCTAATAGGACATAATGGCTGATGCTTAGAAAATGCTAGATATGTATTATTTAAGTACCCATTTTCATAATAGATACTGACGTTACATACTTACGTTATGTGGAGTTTATATAACAAAATAAATTTGATATTTTTACATAACATCACGCCTTTTTATCCTCGAAGGGGTAGTCGGCACTTGTTACCACTGTATAATGTAACACCCACTTTTCACTATTTATGTTATGAGTCCCATGTAATAGGGGGTGAGCCTACTGCCATATAGCAGGCACAACTCCAAACTACGTGCTACTACTGAGATTTTTTTTAAATCCAGTAATACTTTGCGACCACTCGGTCAACGAGGCAATTGATATTTTTCTTGATGGAAATATTATATAAAGAGTAAACATTTTGTGTAATAGGTCTTATGTAACAGAAGTTAAGAGATATAATACCTAGTGCTCTTATATTTCACACGTGCGAAATCACGAGTGCGTTTCCATTCCATTTTCCGACCGCGAAGAGATTAGGGTTACGACTCACGACCTAAGGATATAAGTACCTATATACGTACTATATAAAAGAAATGTGTTCTATATAATGCTATTTTTAGTTTAATTTCATTTGCAGGTGTAATTAATTGTGACTTGGCTCAGGCTCATTCAGCACCAAACACGATGGAGCATAAGTAAAATATAAAAAATACAAAAGTGGTAGTAAGAAAAACATTAAGTTAAAAAAATAAAACTGAATAATCAGAAAAGAGACTCTAACAATATGCTAAATGGGTTCCCCAGTCTGTGTAAGCCAGGCATACGAGTCACCCAGCACTGATTTTCAGTGGGCACCCCTGCAGTGACGCACGGATGGTAGCAACATTTTATGGTTATACAAAGACAAACAAAAAAAATATATATAGATACAACAATGGAATACGTATCAATAGAATAAACATAATAAAATAAAATAAAATAATGTCATAATAGTCCATGATGAAATATTGCTGAACTATGGTCCTCTAATAAACCTGAAGTTTTTATACAGATTTTGGAAACCCCCTCTAACTCTCTAAGTTCTATCAGAGATCACTACTCTGTGATTTCTTTTAAATGTCATAGTTCCTTAGTTAGTTCTTACGACAAGGATAAGAATGGGTGTTATGTATATGTATTTCATTTATGACTAGCTGACCCGGCAATTTTTTTCTCATCTTTTAAACCTGCCTCGTTGGCCGAGTGATCGCAAGTGCGACTGCCGGGCAAGGGGTCTCGGGTTCGATTCCCGGGTCGGGCAAAGTATTACTGGGTTTATTAAAAATCTCAGTAGTAGCACGGAGTCTGGAAATGGTATATGGCAATAGGCTCACCCCCTATTACATGGGACTTATAACATAAATAGTGAAAAATGGGTGTTACATTGTACAGTGGCATTAAGCGTCGAAATGTGCACCTCTGCTTACCCCTTCGGGGATAAAAAGGCGTGATGTTATGTTATTTTATGTTCTTTTAAACCTTTCTTGTACTTCCACAAAAATTTCAGGACCAACATTAGCCTTCGTTCAGCCGTTCTCGAATTTTAGCGAGACTAACGAACGGATATATATTTTTATTTATACAGATTTATTATTAAAAAAATAATAGAAATGTCGGTCACTTCATATCCATAAGCGTTGTGGTAAGTATTGAATAATCCTTCAGAAAATCTGATGCAAAATCTCAGCTTACTAACCATTCGTAGTAAGCTGTATCCGAGCGATTTAGTTACCGCAAAGCTGGCATTCTGGCATTACCGCGTCAGTGAGTTAGCTGGTGGCATGTTTCATTCAGGAACGTATATTTCATCCTGGATACTTAGTCCACCACTAACAACTCAGGTAAGATGAACTATGTTCACTTCTCAGAGTAAGCACCTATTTTGTACAACTTTCAGGAAATACTTATGGACTAGTAAATAAGATTTTAATTTCAACGCTTCGTCCTTATTGTCGAGATAAAAGTAGGATGTGTGTTATACCACTTTGTAATGTATCTCTGTCATTAAAGACGGATATCTATCTATCCGTCTATAATAAAGAAATCTATCCGCTTCATTTAGTAGTTTTGCATGGAAGAGTATCTAACAAATATTACACGCAATATTATATTATTCTAGTACTAGCGACCCGCCCCGGCTCCGCACGGGTGCAATTAGAAACCTCTAAATGTATTAGTGTTTCTCTACTACATTATGCATATGCATTTATATGCATAATAATAATACTATTATTTATATGCATAATAGGTTTATATAAACCTTCCTTAAAAATCACTCTAACTATTAAAAAAACTGCATCAAAATCCGTTGCGTAATTTTAAAGATCTAAGCATACATAGGGATAGACTGACGGCGGATAACGACTTTATTTTCTACTATGTAGTGATAGTGATAACAGCATTTTTCAATTGCTTAAAAAAAAATAACGAATATATAGTTTATAGAGGTAATTTTTTGTTCATTCACTCTGAGCATTGACATGTCAGCTTAGCAAGCAACCTGTTGATTAGCTAATCGGTTTGCACTGTGCTAACGACTCTATGTATGTACATACATATTTATGTATCTACATAAATAGAATAAAGGTGCGACCAATGATCATATATAATCTACTAGCTTCTGCCCGGGACTTTGTATGCGCATACCCGTTTTCTCCCGTTCTCATAAGATTTTCAGGATTTTTTTTCTGTCATAAAAATCTTTTCCTGACAATAACAATCACAATAAAAAAAAATCACCCTAATCGGTCTAGCCGTTCTCAAGTTATGGCTTGACGACAGAAAACGGGTTTCATTTTTATATGATGTATTTTTTTTTAAGGGGGAAAATCATGGAATGACTGCTCCCGCCTGGGTGAGGAGGGAGGGAGTGTCAGACTCTTACTGACTAAAAACCACCCCCTTCCTTCTCCTGCACGTCGAGCCGGAGCCCCGGTTACCCGTTAGGTTCTCCGCGACCTTTATATGATGTATAGAAGATTCATAACTCGTTTAAAAAGTATAAGTTAGTTAAGTAGTTATTAAATGTCACTGTATTGTAGTTCAAACTTGAACGGAACTTCTAACATAATAACTGGCAAAAAGTAGATACCTACTACATTTAAACAAACGTACATTATTGGAAATGAAACCGTGATTTTATGTTTATAGAGTTCACATCCCTTTAAAAGCAAAGTAAACAAAGTTCACGAAAGATAACACAAAGAGATCCAATGTTCCTGGTTACTGTTTCTCAAACCATATGCCAAAACACGGTCTGGTAGAAACCGAACCGATATAAAAGTGATGATGGCTGCTCGGGTTAATAACAATTTATTGCCGTCTGCCATCATTAAACAGGTTAAGAGATCATCGTAAACAGTTTGTAGTAAAAACATTACGTGTTGTGGGGTTTTGAATACCTATGGGTTGTAAAAGGTGACCCAGAGGGCAGCACTGGCGTTTCTATAGAGGTCAATTAATGGTGCTTGAGCGATAAGTTGTTTTTTTCAACATTTTTAATGTTATTAAAGGACATAGTAAAATTTAGTCATGAACATTATCTATCTATAAACCTTATGGAGATACCTAGAAGACGATTAGGTATTAGTGGATAAGTTCTGCTTTAGGAGAAGATTTAAAACCTTGTTTAAACAAAGAAACGTATTTTTATATAAATAAAAAAAAAGTTTTAATAATTTCTATTACCATTATGTTCCCTAATGTTCATTATGCAGAATATGTAGTGTTGGAAAAAAAATGTTGCTAACAATTTAAACTCGAAGAGAACATTTTCATCAATGACTAGTTTATAGTTTATTCATAAAAAGTGGCCTATGTGTTATTCCAGGCCATAATTTAACCTTGTTCCAAATTTTATCTCGATCCCTTCGGCCGTTTTGATGTGAAAGAGTAACAAACAAACACACATACACACACATATTATCATCCACAGAAATTTTTGCATTTGTAATTATATTATAGTAGGCAGTAGGATTAGTAGGATTGA